TGTTGATGAAGAAGAGACATGAAGAAGAGGGGACACATGTTGAGAAGAAGAGACATGAAGAAGGGGACACATGTTGATGTAGAAGAGACATGAAGAAGAGGGGACACATGTTGATGAAGAAGAGACATGAAGAAGAGGGGACACATGTTGATGTAGAAGAGACATGAAGAAGAGGGGACACATGTTGATGTAGAAGAGACATGAAGAAGAGGGGACACATGTTGATGAAGAAGAGACATGAAGAAGAGGGGACACATGTTGATGAAGAAGAGACATGAAGAAGAGGGGACACATGTTGATGTAGAAGAGACATGAAGAAGAGGGGACACATGTGTTGATGTAGAAGAGACATGAAGAAGAGGGACACATGTTGATGAAGAAGAGACATGAAGAAGAGGGGACATGTTGTGATGTAGAAGAGGACATGAAGAAGAGGGGACACATGTTGATGTAGAAGAGACATGAAGAAGAGGGGACACATGTTGATTGTAGAAGAGACATGAAGAAGAGGGGACACATGTTGATGTAGAAGAGACATGAAGAGAGGGGACACATGTTGATGTAGAAGAGACATGAAGAAGAGGGGACACATGTTGATGAAGAAGAGACATGAAGAAGAGGGGACACATGTTGATGTAGAAGAGACATGAAGAAGAGGGGACACATGTTGATGTAGAAGAGACATGAAGAAGAGGGGACACATGTTGATGTAGAAGAGACATGAAGAAGAGGGACACATGTTGATGAAGAAGAGACATGAAGAAGAGGGGACACATGTTGATGTAGAAGAGACATGAAGAAGAGGGGACACATGTTGATGTAGAAGAGACATGAAGAAGAGGGGACACATGTTGATGTAGAAGAGACATGAAGAAGAGGGGACACATGTTGATGTAGAAGAGACATGAAGAAGAGGGGACACATGTTGATGTAGAAGAGACATGAAGAAGAGGGACACATGTTGATGTAGAAGAGACATGAAGAAGAGGGGACACATGTTGATGTAGAAGAGACATGAAGAAGAGGGGACACATGTTGATGTAGAAGAGACATGAAGAAGAGGGGACACATGTTGATGTAGAAGAGACATGAAGAAGAGGGGACACATGTTGATGTAGAAGAGACATGAAGAAGAGGGGACACATGTTGATGTAGAAGAGACATGAAGAAGAGGGGACACATGTTGATGTAGAAGAGACATGAAGAAGAGGGGACACATGTTGATGTAGAAGAGACATGAAGAAGAGGGGACACATGTTGATGTAGAAGAGACATGAAGAAGAGGGGACACATGTTGATGAAGAAGAGACATGAAGAAGAGGGGACACATGTTGATGTAGAAGAGACATGAAGAAGAGGGGACACATGTTGATGTAGAAGAGACATGAAGAAGAGGGGACATGTTGATGAAGAGAGGGACACATGTTGATGTAGAAGAGACATGAAGAAGAGGGGACACATGTTGATGAAAGAAGAGGGGACACATGTTGATGTAGAAGAGACATGAATGGAAGAGGGGACACATGTTGATGTAGAAGAGACATGAAGAAGAGGGACACATGTTGATGAAGAAGAGACATGAAGAAGAGGGGACACATGTTGATGTAGAAGAGACATGAAGAAGAGGGGACACATGTTGATGTAGAAGAGACATGAAGAAGAGGGGGACACATGTTGATGTAGAAGAGACATGAAGAAGAGGGGACACATGTTGATGTAGAAGAGACATGAAGAAGAGGGGACACATGTTGATGAAGAAGAGGGGACACATGTTGATGTAGAAGAGACATGAAGAAGAGGGGACACATGTTGATGTAGAAGAGACATGAAGAAGAGGGGACACATGTTGATGTAGAAGAGACATGAAGAAGAGGGGACACATGTTGATGTAGAAGAGACATGAAGAAGAGGGGACACATGTTGATGTAGAAGAGACATGAAGAAGAGGGGACACATGTTGATGTAGAAGAGACATGAAGAGGGGACACATGTTGATGTAGAAGAGACATGAAGAAGACGGGGACACATGTTGTGTAGAAGAGACATGAAGAAGAGTGGGACACATGTTGATGTAGAAGAGCATGAAGAAAGATGGGACACATGTTGATGATAGAAGAGACGTGAAGAAGAGGGGACACATGTTGATGTAGAAGAGACGTGAAGAAGGAGGGGACACATGTTGATGTAGAAGAGACATGAAGAAGAGGGGTACACATGTTGATGTAGAGAGACGTGAAGAAAGTGGATTTTAAATAATAGGTGACCTTTTTCAGATTTTCCGACCTTTTTCAGAATTATGATTTTTCTTCAAATTCATGATTTTTTTCTCAGTATTTTGAATATTCTAAAAATGTTGAATTCTTTTAAGAACTTCGATCTTTTCAGAATTGGAAAACAACAAGTATCTTGAGATTCAATCAATATGATATACTGTATATAAAAGGTATTATTATATATGCTTTGAATTTGTTTCCTTTTTTAAATACAACTTAAAAAACTCACTACTTACTTAGGCATACATCCTGCTACCTTCAGGGAGCGTGGGAGAAATCGCCACTGTGACGGGAAAACATGGGAATTTGGGGGGTTTTCTGTAAAATGGTGACTTTCTTTGAACGAGATGATGAGTAAGGAATAGGATTAGGGCCACATGAGCATTTTTGGGATGCGACACATTATTATAATTAATTTTTTTATTTCGACTTTTTCAATGAATTTCGGACTTTAAGAATAACACAGTGAAATATAAATGAAGGAGTGCAGTATTTGTGCCTCACCCTCGGTGTAGTCGATGTCGGGCCGGGTGGAGACCACCGCCCAGGCTAAGCCCACCAGAATGGCCACCACCAGGTTCACCACCATCCAGGGTCTGAGGATCTGCTGCTCCGAGCCTGGAGGCCTGAAGGGATACAATACATACCAGAATATATAATACTGTACAATACATACCATAATATGTTATACATACGAGAATATAATATACATACGAGAATATAATATACATACATACCAGAATATAATATACATACGAGAATATAATATACATACATACCAGAATATAATATACATACGAGAATATAATATACATACCAGAATATAATATATATACATACCAGAATATAATATACATACGAGATTATAATATATATACATACCAGAATATAATATACATACCAGAATGTCATGTTTTTAGTTTTGTGTGTTTAGTTTGGTTTTATTTTGAAATTCTGTTCTCCCTGTGTCTGGTCCTTCCTTCCTGTGTTTGCCCTCCTGAGTCTGATTGTCTGATTGTGTTCACCTGTTGCCCCCCCCCCCCCCCCTTTGGGGTTTCCCAGAATTTGACATCATTTCAGATTTTTTTTATACATTTCCGATTAGTTTCAAATTTTACTTTTTTCAGATTTAAGACTTTTCAGAATGTTGACGTTGATATTTCCTCACCACAGTGTCTCGTTTGCGGTGGGATAAAGGTGATGCGGTCGCTGGTCTCTGCTGACTGAGGGCAGGATCAGGGTGGCGATTGAAATACACTGAACACAGAGAAGAGAAGATTAACACTCATCACCATCTTCTTCATCTTCCTCTTCTTCTTGTTAACTTACAGAAGGAGGCGAGGGCAGCAGGGTCCAGAGTGACGAATCCTCTCAGAGCCATGGAGGCTTTAGCCAGGTTCACCCTGCACGTACACACACATCACAGTCGAGTTGAGTATGTTACCTGTGTACAGTGTTTATGTACAAGTATATACAGTATGTACAGTGTGTACAGTGTGTACAGTGTGTACAGTGTGTACAGTGTGTACAGTGTGTACAGTAGTGTGTACAGTGTGTACAGTGTGTACAGTGTGTACAGTGTGTACAGTAGTGTGTACAGTAGTGTGTACAGTGTGTACAGTAGTGTGTACAGTGTGTACCGTGTGTACAGTGTGTACAGTGTGTACAGTAGTGTGTACAGTGTGTACCGTGTGTACAGTGTGTACCGTGTGTACAGTGTGTACAGTGTGTACCGTGTGTACAGTGTGTACAGTGTGTTACCTGTCGAATGCGGACACGGTGCTGAGGACCAGCAGCAGGTACAGCAGGCTCTGAGCAGGGTATGCCAGCAGGTGGTACTGCTGCAGGAGGTTCTGCAGGGTGGTCATCTGCTCCCCCGCCAGAACGTACACCACGATCATGTTCCACACCGCGTAGCCCGCCAGGAACCCGTGAGAGAACAGACCCAGAACCCTAAAGAACCATGGAAGAATAATAATAAATAATAATAATAATAAATCACTCAGGAGACGACGAAATTACAATAAATACACAAATATTTTTTTTTAATATACGATTTATTTCTACAAACAAATCAAAGTAAATGCGTAAAATAAATAACACATTTAAATAATAATAATGGAGGATTGAATCTACCAAAAATAAAAATAAATAAATGACTCAATAAGTCTGGAGATCGCTGGAGAAATGATAATAAATACATCCAATACAAAAAATAGCATAAAATAAGGATTAAATAAGGGGGAGATCTTATTTTGGTACATTTCGGGGAAAATGTTATTTATTAAGTAATGTGAGTCGTGTGTGTGTGTGTGTGTGTGTGTGTGTGTGTGTGTGTTGTGTGTGTGTGTGGGTGGGTGTGTGGGTGTGTGGGTGTGACCTGAAGCTGCTGTGGACCTTCATGGCGACGTCTCTGGTGGTCCAGATCTGTCGGGGGTCCATATATTCGTCCTCCGAGTGTCTGAGGTGCTCAACACGCTCTGCCTGGAAACGCCCTACACACACACACACACGCACACGCACACGCACACGCACACGCACACGCACACGTACACACACACACACACACACACACACACACACACACACACACACACACACACACACACACACACACACACACACACACACACACACACACACACACACACACACACACACACACACTCACTCACGGTTCCTCTCAACTTTTTATTCAGATTTTTGGCTTTTTTTTTTTAATGTTGACGTTTTCCCCAATGTCTTCCTCACTCACGGTTTCTCTCCACGAAGACCTTCCCCACCGGCTGGCTGTGTCCGTGGGGGGCGGAGAACAGCGACTGCTGGGGGATCGGAGACGAAGCGTCCACGATGATGTCGTCGTCTTCGGCCTCCAGATCGTTGCTGAAGTGCTCCGTGGCTTTCGCCTTCCTGACGCGGGAAACAAAGAAATTCAGACTATTCAGACTACAAACGTTTTAATGAAGTTGACTTCAGCAAATTCATATTTGTCAGTGCTTTCAATTCAGCGAACATAAACATAAATGATCGTGAAGATGATTATTCAATTATGATGACAAATGGGTAGTGAGAGCCGTGCTGCATCTCCTCCCGTCGGATGTGATATAAATACAAACCGACTATTTTTGTAGTTGTAAACTCACGTGGATAAACATATTAAGAAACACGTGAGTTGTTGTCTGACTGAACTTATATATGTGAGGAGATTTTATTTATCTTTTACAATATCTCTTTACAGCTGGTTCTCACTTCTTCCTCTTGGTTTTCCGGGCCACAGGAGCAGATTCCTCTCCCTCCACCTCCACCATGTCTCCGTTTGGGACATCGGGATGCTCGGCCTCCAGATCTGAAGAAATAAAAGAACTTGAAAAATATTGAGGTTTGAAGAACCTGTAAAGTGTTAAAAGTTGTTGTCAGTCTGATGTGGAGAGGGATTGAGTCCAAGACTTTAAAGTATAATATAAAGTATATCGTGTGATAATAGTTTGAAATGTCCTTTCCAGTTTCTTTAAGTCAATATATTACAGGTCTCAGATATATACAGAGCCTGTCTCTGATTGGCTGAAACACCACACAGATCATTGCAGCATTACCCATAATCCCCTCTGTTTCAGCCCTGTTTAAAAAATGCTGATTCTGTGTCTGTAGCTTTAAATGCTAATGAGCTGCTGCTGGCCCCGCCCCTCTGAGAGATGATTGGTTTAAAGAAACACAATGGTGCTCTAGGAGGACTTGTAAAAATAGCACTACACCCCTTGAGGGGACACATGTTTGTGTAGAAAAGACATGAAGAAGTGGATTTTGCATAGTAGGTGATCTTTAAGTAACCAAAGATATCGACTTATATATGATTTAAAACAGACAAAGCATCAAATATGGAAACTGGAAGCAGGAAAAATTACTCTAACGACGAATAAATTATCAAAATAGCTGCAATTATTTTACTTTCAATCGATTTTCTAATTATTCAGATAGTTCCTGCAGCTCTGTGTGGTTTTATATCTCTGTGAGGTGGTTTTTATTCTCTTTTCGTGACACTTTGATAAAAAGTTATACCGATGGTTTGCGCCCTTTTCTTCTTCTTCTTCTTCTGTGGTGCGGGATCGAGGGGTTCTGGGGTCAAAGGGTCTCTGCTGTCAGAGCGCCTCCTGCTGGTCACCTCCTCCTCCACCTCCACACCTGCACAGAAACAGTATTATAGAATATAATAATATTCAGAGATGGCAAAAGTACACACATCCTTTACTCAAATAGAAGTACACACATCCTTTACTCAAATAGAAGTACACACATCCTTTACTCAAGTAGAAGTACACACATCCTTTACTCAAGTAGAAGTACACACATTCTTTACTCAAGTAGAAGTACACACATCCTTTACTCAAGTAGAAGTACACACATTCTTTACTCAAGTAGAAGTACACACATCCTGTACTCAAGTAGAAGTACACACATCCTTTACTCAAGTAGAAGTACAGATTCTCGTGTTTAAAAATACTCTGGTGAAAGTTGAAGTACTGACTAAACTTCTTTACTCAAGTAAAAGTAAAGAGGGCTTTGAAATGTACTTCAGTAAAAAGTACCCATAACTAGCAGCTGCTTTAAAGAGTACCTGACCTCCCTTTATATTAATAGAACAATAATGTCATTGTTAGCTAATGAATGTTTCCATGCTGAACAACGGCAACATGACAACGTTTTCATTGGTCCCTCTTCTTTAGAGAAGACCAGGAAATGATGGATACACGGATCGTGTTCAAATCAATAGGCACGCAATGACTCTAAATAATAATGATCACGGCCACCAGACACACATTCAAACTAAAGGAACCAGCCTGTTTGGGAAATGTGAGAAGTAGAAAGTACAGGTATTTGGGTTCAACATGTAAGAAGTAGAAAGTACAGGTATTTGTGTTCAACATGTAAGAAGTAGAAAGTACAGGTATTTGGGTTCAACATGTAAGAAGTAGAAAGTACAGGTATTTGTGTTCAACATGTAAGAAGTAGAAAGTACAGGTATTTGTGTTCAACATGTAAGAAGTAGAAAGTACAGGTATTTGTGTTCAACATGTAAGAAGTAGAAAGTACAGGTATTTGGGTTCAACATGTAAGAAGTAGAAAGTACAGGTATTTGTGTTCAACATGTAGAAGTAGAAAGTACAGGTATTTGGGTTCAACATGTAAGAAGTAGAAAGTACAGGTATTTGTGTTCAACATGTAAGAAGTAGAAAGTACAGGTATTGTGTTCAACATGTAAGAAGTAGAAAGTACAGGTATTTGGGTTCAACATGTAAGAAGTAGAAAGTGCAGGTATTTGTGTTCAACATGTAAGAAGTAGAAAGTACAGGTATTTGGGTTCAACATGTAAGAAGTAGAAAGTACAAGTATTTGTGTTCAACATGTAAGAAGTAGAAAGTACAGGTATTTGTGTTCAACATGTAAGAAGTAGAAAGTACAAGTATTTGTGTTCAACATGTAAGAAGTAGAAAGTACAGGTATTTGTGTTCAAAATGTAAGAAGTAGAAAGTACAGGTATTTGGGTTCAACATGTAAGAAGTAGAAAGTACAAGTATTTGTGTTCAACATGTAAGAAGTAGAAAGTACAGGTATTTGAGTTCAACATGTAAGAAGTAGAAAGTACAGGTATTTGGGTTCAAAATGTAAGAAGTAGAAAGTACAGGTATTTGTGTTCAACATGTAAGAAGTAGAAGTACAGGTATTTGGGTTCAACATGTAAGAAGTAGAAAGTACAAGTATTTGTGTTCAACATGTAAGAAGTAGAAAGTACAGGTATTTGTGTTCAACATGTAAGAAGTAGAAAGTACAAGTATTTGTGTTCAACATGTAAGAAGTAGAAAGTACAGGTATTTGTGTTCAAAATGTAAGAAGTAGAAAGTACAGGTATTTGGGTTCAACATGTAAGAAGTAGAAAGTACAAGTATTTGTGTTCAACATGTAAGAAGTAGAAAGTACAGGTATTTGTGTTCAAAATGTAAGAAGTAGAAAGTACAGGTATTTGTGTTCAACATGTAAGAAGTAGAAAGTACAGGTATTTGGGTTCAACATGTAAGAAGTAGAAAGTACAAGTATTTGTGTTCAACATGTAAGAAGTAGAAAGTACAGGTATTTGTGTTCAAAATGTAAGAAGTAGAAAGTACAGGTATTTGGGTTCAACATGTAAGAAGTAGAAAGTACAGGTATTTGGGTTCAAAATGTAAGAAGTAGAAAGTACAGGTATTTGTGTTCAACATGTAAGAAGTAGAAAGTACAGGTATTTGGGTTCAACATGTAAGAAGTAGAAAGTACAAGTATTTGTGTTCAACATGTAAGAAGTAGAAAGTACAGGTATTTGGGTTCAAAATGTAAGAAGTAGAAAGTACAGGTATTTGTGTTCAACATGTAAGAAGTAGAAAGTACAAGTATTTGTGTTCAACATGTAAGAAGTAGAAAGTACAGGTATTTGTGTTCAAAATGTAAGAAGTAGAAAGTACAGGTATTTGGGTTCAACATGTAAGAAGTAGAAAGTACAAGTATTTGTGTTCAACATGTAAGAAGTAGAAAGTACAGGTATTTGTGTTCAACATGTAAGAAGTAAAAAGTACAGGTATTTGTGTTCACATGTAAGAAGTAGAAAGTACAGGTATTTGTGTTCAACATGTAAGAAGTAGAAAGTACAGGTATTTGGGTTCAAAATGTAAGAAGTAGAAAGTACAGGTATTTGTGTTCAACATGTAAGAAGTAGAAAGTACAGGTATTAGTGTTCAAAATGTAAGAAGTAGAAAGTACAGGTATTTGGGTTCAACATGTAAGAAGTAGAAAGTACAAGTATTTGTGTTCAACATGTAAGAAGTAGAAAGTACAGGTATTTGTGTTCAAAATGTAAGAAGTAGAAAGTACAGGTATTTGGGTTCAACATGTAAGAAGTAGAAAGTACAGGTATTTGGGTTCAAAATGTAAGAAGTAGAAAGTACAGGTATTTGTGTTCAACATGTAAGAAGTAGAAAGTACAGGTATTTGGGTTCAACATGTAAGAAGTAGAAAGTACAAGTATTTGTGTTCAACATGTAAGAAGTAGAAAGTACAGGTATTTGGGTTCAAAATGTAAGAAGTAGAAAGTACAGGTATTTGTGTTCAACATGTAAGAAGTAGAAAGTACAAGTATTTGTGTTCAACATGTAAGAAGTAGAAAGTACAGGTATTTGTGTTCAAAATGTAAGAAGTAGAAAGTACAGGTATTTGGGTTCAACATGTAAGAAGTAGAAAGTACAAGTATTTGTGTTCAACATGTAAGAAGTAGAAAGTACAGGTATTTGTGTTCAACATGTAAGAAGTAAAAAGTACAGGTATTTGTGTTCAACATGTAAGAAGTAGAAAGTACAGGTATTTGTGTTCAACATGTAAGAAGTAGAAAGTACAGGTATTTGGGTTCAAAATGTAAGAAGTAGAAAGTACAGGTATTTGTGTTCAACATGTAAGAAGTAGAAAGTACAGGTATTAGTGTTCAAAATGTAAGAAGTAGAAAGTACAGGTATTTGGGTTCAAAATGTAAGAAGTAGAAAGTACAGGTATTTGGGTTCAACATGTAAGAAGTAGAAAGTACAGGTATTTGTGTTCAAAATATAAGAAGTAGAAAGTACAGGTATTTGTGTTCAAAATATAAGAAGTAGAAAGTACAGGTATTTGTGTTAAAAATGTAAGACGTCCAAGTAAAAAGTCGTGGAGTAGAGTACTGATACCAGAAACATGTACTTAAATACAGTAACGAAGTATTTGTACTCCAACACTTCCCCCCTCTGATAATATTATATTGAATAAAGAGGAGTTAAGGTCTCACCTCCTCCTTCCTCTCCATCCGTCGCCTCCTTCTTCGACTTCTTCTTCTTGCTCTTCACCGTTGGCATGCTTTCTCTAAGAGAGGATTTCAAAAAGTCCAGGGTCGTTAAATTTCATTTATGTCAAACAAGCATAATCAGTGTTTAATTTCCCTTTTGAGGGTTATTTATGTTGTATTCATTCATTTTCTTTATTCTTTAATTATTATAATTGTTTTTATTTTTTTAAGATGGACACTACAATTTTATATATATATGTTTTGTATTTATTTAAGTCAGTTAATGATGTTTTAACAAGGATCTTTGAGCAGGAAATGTCTTTTATTCAAGTATTTTAAATGTATTTTTTATGCATTTATGCTGGAGACACATGAGACAACTGGGTCTGTTTCCTTTCTATTCAAATATTTAATATTTTTTTAATATCTCCTATAGCCTCCTCTCTTAAAATAGGTTGAAGGGCCCTATTCTATCAGTATTCAGTGTCTTTACTGGGACATGTCTCCATGCTTTAATGTTCAAAAAGCTCTTTATTTTTCTCATACTGCCTGTGCCTCTTTAAGATTTCCTTATCCTAGAGTTGGAGAGTTTTTGTAATTATTGTATTTATGCTGGACACACACAAGAGAATAACCAGTAAGAGTTTATTTGGTTGAATGTGTCTCGACTGTAGTTTTACGTCTTCCTCAGGTTCAGATTGTCTCAGTTTTCAGGTCATTAGTTAATTAACTAACGAGGATCTGTGGCCGGACGCTGACGCCGGTAATAATTGGATCAGATCTAAAGACAGCTGCTCCGAAAACACACCGGAAACAATCATTAACGAGAGTTCTACAGGATATGAGCAGAATGCATGTTTAAATGAAGACGTCTGCATTAGTGTGAGTTAGTTTGCACATGCTAAAACAAGTATTTACACCTAATTGAAATGCAACTATACAAATAACCGTAAAAGCTAAAAAACAACAAAAGACAAAATGCACTGAAGATGTCTGCATGTCTGCCTGTTAGTGTGAGTTAGTTTAAATGTTTAATATTATGTTATAATATATGTTATTATGTATATATAGCCGACCCGAAACAATAATTCAAAGAGATGTGTGCAGGATATGAGCAGAATGGAGACGTTAAGAGGTCGAGACCAAGACTTTAAGTGAGGTTGAGACAGAGACTCTAAGTGAGATCGAGACAGAGTGAAGACCAAGACTTTAAGAGGTCGAGACAGAGTGATGACCAAGACTTTAAGAGGTCGAGACAGAGTGATGACCAAGACTTTAAGAGGTCGAGACAGAGTGATGACCAAGACTTTAAGAGGTCGAGACAGAGTGAAGACCAAGACTTTAAGAGGTTGAGACAGAGTCAAGGCCAAGACTTTAAGAGGTCGAGACAGAGTGAAGACCAAGACTTTAAGAGGTTGAGACAGAGTGAAGACCAAGACTTTAAGAGGTCGAGACAGAGTGAAGACCAAGACTTTAAGAGGTCGAGACAGAGTGAAGACCAAGACTTTAAGAGGTTGAGACAGAGTGAAGACCGTAGCCTCATCCCAATACCCCTCCTCGACTCCTCTCTTCCCCTCCTCCGGGACTTGACCCGGAAATCGATCAAGACACGCCATTTTGAAGGACGTCCCAATAGCTGAAATGCACACGGAGGAGTCGAGGAGGGTTGAGGGAGGAGGGGTGCGGGAGGAGACGAAAGGGAGGATACATGAGAGCAGACTACGCGGAAGTGTTTTCACTACTCGCGTATAAAAGCCCCGCCCCCACCTTCACAGCTGGTCGATTTCAAGAGAGGAAAACGGAGAACTGGAAGAATGAGTGGAAAAGCGTCACATAAATGTCTAAGTGCTCACAGCTCCGTGGGAATTATTATGTGCAATTCATTTCTTAAGGTTATACTAACAATTGAAGTCATGTTTAATGATCTTGAACGTCACTAAAACATAGCTATTAAGAAAGCTATTTCATAAATGGCTAGATCTTGATAAATAAAAATTATTTGTTTTGTTTTGTGTTAAGATATTCAGGAGTTAAATTATTTTAAATGCAGTCCTGAATGTGGGTTTGTGGTGAATGTGGGGATCTACAGGACACACATGTTCAGAGTAAAGGCTTTCACATTATTATAATTATAATTTTATTGAAATGTACATTTTACACCAAAACGGAACACAAAAGCAGGACCAACCATCATACATTGAATTCCTTGACTAAAAAGAGAAAGATTCATCATTTAAATACATATTTAACAACAAATGGGCCGGTTCTAAAGGTTCTAAAGGTTCTAAAGGTTATTCAGTTAAACCCAATGAGAGGGGATACAGCTGTGCACATGTCATCATTAACAGACGTCGTTTAAGAGTGACGTTTGAGTGAACGAGGACATCCCAATTAATACCTGAGGACTCCTCTGTCCTCGCGTCACCTCCTCGTGTCTCTCGCTCGCATCTTACGGAGGCGGAGCTAAGACGCAAGGAAGGGACGCGAGTGAGGGAAAGGAGGAGTCGAGGAGGGGTATTGAGACGAGGCTCAAGACTTTAAGAGGTCGAGACAGAGTGAAGACCAAGACTTTAAGAGGTTGAGACAGAGTCAAGGCCAAGACTTTAAGAGGTCGAGACAGAGTGAAGACCAAGACTTTAAGAGGTCGAGACAGAGTGAAGACCAAGACTTTAAGAGGTCGAGACAGAGTGAAGACCGAGACTTTAAGAGGTCGAGACAGAGTCAAGGCCAAGACTTTAAGAGGTCGAGACAGAGTGAAGACCAAGACTTTAAGAGGTCGAGACAGAGTGAAGACCAAGAATTTAAGAGGTCGAGACAGAGTGAAGACCGAGACTTTAAGAGGTCGAGACAGAGTCAAGGCCAAGACTTTAAGAGGTCGAGACAGAGTGAAGACCAAGACTTTAAGAGGTCGAGACAGAGTGAAGACCAAGACTTTAAGAGGTCGAGACAGAGTGAAGACCAAGACTTTAAAAGTTCGAGACAGAGTGAAGACCAAGACTTTAAGAGTTCGAGACAGAGTGAAGACCAAGACTTTAAGAGGTCGAGACAGAGTGAAGACCGAGACTTTAAGAGTTCGAGACAGAGTGAAGACCAAGACTTTAAGAGTTCGAGACAGAGTGAAGACCAAGACTTTAAGAGTTCGAGACAGAGTGAAGACCAAGACTTTAAGAGGTCGAGACAGAGTGAAGACCAAGACTTTAAGAGGTCGAGACAGAGTGAAGACCAAGACTTTAAGAGGTCGAGACAGAGTGAAGACCAAGACTTTAAGAGGTCGAGACAGAGTGAAGACCAAGACTTTAAGAGTTCGAGACAGAGTGAAGACCGAGACTTTAAGAGTTCGAGACAGAGTGAAGACCGAGACTTTAAGAGGTCGAGACAGAGTGAAGACCGAGACTTTAAGAGGTCGAGACAGAGTCAAGGCCAAGACTTTAAGAGGTCGAGACAGAGTCAAGACCGAGACTTTAAGAGGTCGAGACAGAGTGAAGACCAAGACTTTAAGAGGTTGAGACAGAGTCAAGGCCAAGACTTTAAGAGGTTGAGACAGAGTCAAGGCCAAGACTTTAAGAGGTCGAGACAGAGTGAAGACCAAGACTTTAAGAGGTCGAGACAGAGTCAAGGCCAAGACTTTAAGAGGTCGAGACAGAGTCAAGGCCAAGACTTTAAGAGGTCGAGACAGAGTGAAGACCAAGACTTTAAGAGGTCGAGACAGAGTGAAGACCAAGAATTTAAGAGGTCGAGACAGAGTGAAGACCGAGACTTTAAGAGGTCGAGACAGAGTCAAGGCCAAGACTTTAAGAGGTCGAGACAGAGTGAAGACCAAGACTTTAAGAGGTCGAGACAGAGTGAAGACCAAGACTTTAAGAGGTCGAGACAGAGTGAAGACCAAGACTTTAAAAGTTCGAGACAGAGTGAAGACCAAGACTTTAAGAGTTCGAGACAGAGTGAAGACCAAGACTTTAAGAGGTCGAGACAGAGTGAAGACCGAGACTTTAAGAGTTCGAGACAGAGTGAAGACCAAGACTTTAAGAGTTCGAGACAGAGTGAAGACCAAGACTTTAAGAGTTCGAGACAGAGTGAAGACCAAGACTTTAAGAGTTCGAGACAGAGTGAAGACCAAGACTTTAAGACGTCGAGACAGAGTGAAGACCAAGACTTTAAGAGGTCGAGACAGAGTGAAGACCAAGACTTTAAGAGGTCGAGACAGAGTGAAGACCAAGACTTTAAGAGGTCGAGACAGAGTGAAGACCAAGACTTTAAGAGTTCGAGACAGAGTGAAGACCGAGACTTTAAGAGGTCGAGACAGAGTGAAGACCGAGACTTTAAGAGGTCGAGACAGAGTGAAGACCAAGACTTTAAGAGGTCGAGACAGAGTCAAGACCGAGACTTTAAGAGGTCGAGACAGAGTGAAGACCAATTATTGCTTTATAAATGTCTTCACCCCGTGTGTGTCCACTGAGGTTTGTCAGGCCCAACACATCTTCAACAAACTCCCCCTTTGCCTCATCATAAAAACTCACAAACACCAGCAACTGAGCATTGTCAGTGGTGTCAGTGGACTCATCCACAGCTAAGGAAATGCACTGTGCATTTTGTATTCCATCAAAAAGCTGATTAATCAAATCACCAGCCAGTATTTATGTTCTTCTGGTTGCTGTGGAATCTGAGAGGGGGCTTTGCTTGATTTGACCTGTTATTTCCTCTTTTTGTTTGCCTTCAAACATGGTCTCCATCACTTCAGTCATGCATTCTTTTATACTTCAGTTATTATCCAGTGGAGAGTCCTTACCTACTGGCCTAGTTAAAGTGGTTACTTTTTTTTGGCTGGGCAGTGTAGTTTTACACACCGTCTTATTTGACTTTCTCAGGACGTAAAACTGTTTTTTTGGGGGCAGACCCCCACAAAGAAAAATATATATTTACACACGTAAGGTCATCATCTTAACAGTTTTGTATGCTCATCCGTGAGCAGAGCATCAAGTTGACATGTCTATTACAGCTGAATGCGGCGATTACCATGTTGTTCAGCAAAACGCCTCACAAACTTATTAAGATCAACAGCTTTAGTGCGTT